TTCCTGGAGCTGCGCCCACAGGCCAGGAATATTCCGGGGAGCCTGGCCTCCCCAGGCCAAATAACTCGCTGCCCCTGGAGGCGGGACCTTGGCAATTCGGGAATGGCTGACACAAGGCCTAACGTTTTCCGTAGGCTCACGACTAGGAGGATTCCGAACAAGCTGGGCCAGGTTCTGTTCTCCCTTACCCCAGGGTAGGTCAGGAGTAGCTTCCCTCAAGCCAGTGTGAGCAGAACCGGTCCTATCTGCTTCCTTCTAATTCAGGTGTGTGTCTCAGTGTTTGCGCCGACAGCTCTCCCGAAAAGGGCCCAGGGATGCCCTCGCTGCAGAACCAATGTTCACGTCCCTACTCCTCTCCCCCGGTTACTTGGCTCATTTGCTTTCAATTTCTATGACATTTCTCTCCGGAGGCTGGATGGCTACGCCCTTACTCAAACCGAACTCTCATTGAACGCCATTGAATGGCATCACTGGGAGCAGTCCCCAAGGAAGGAGCATTTGTCTCAGAGTCACCGTCTTTGCTTCACGCAGCATCAGCAGTGACTGCCAGTATAATGCCAGAAACTGAGATGCTTAGCGATGCAGGTGACTCAGACTCCGGTCTAATAAACCTCCCAAGCGGGTTTCTTTCCTTCTCTTTGACTCCACTTCGCTAGCTTTACTCAGGCCAGGTCTAACCTACACCTGAAATGTCGGCTTAAGGTACACAACTCTAGCTACGTAGAATACATAGCTGGAGTTGGTGTACGTTAAGCTGAGTTCGGGGGCATCCCCCCAGTGGGAGGCCGTTGGGAGCAAATGCTCCTTTTGGCTTTCCGTACTCCTTGCGACTGCGAGAAGTACAGGTGCTGGCCAGTGCAGCCCTCAGCGTTCGAGTTATGGGTCTATACCAGACCCGCTCAATGGAACGCCAGAACATCGATCTCTAGCAGGGTGAGTGAAGATGTGCCCTTAGAACCCGAGCTTTGGTTTTCCTCTCCCTGGTGCTTCAGGAGAAGTTACTAAAGGGAGCACAGTCACAGGGAGAGATTCTGCTTAGAGAATTCCACCCAACTTCTGTCCCTTTCTCATGCAGGAGAGTGTAATTGATGGCAATGAAAGTCCTGGCGCAAGAGAATCTATTGATTATTATTATTATTAATGATGTATGTATGTATTTATTTGCATTACTGTTGTGTCTAGGAACCTGAGCCCCAGGGAATCAATCCCAAGTCAAACCCAAAAACTGTTTGTTTAAGTGACGCAGGGTGCGTCTATGCTGCAGAGTTTTTTTCGGAAAAACACCCGTTTTTTCTGAAAAAAACTTCAGTTACGTCCACACTGCAATTGCATTCTTTCGAAAAAAAATTGAAAGAACAAAGGGGTTTTTCTGACAGCGGTAAGCCTCTTTCTATGAAGAACACCTTCTCCGAAAGAGCTCTTACGGAAAAAGGCATGTGTGGATGGTGAAGAGGGGTTTCTTCGAAAGAAGAGGCCTCCAGGAAAAACTACAGGTGCCCTGGTGGCCACTCCATCCACAGCAATCAGAACTTAAATGCAAGATAGCGTCCAATCAATGTGGATGCTATCTTTCGAAAAAGCAGATCGCTTTTTCCATGTGCTTTGGCAGTGTGGACACTCTCGGAGGAAGTTTTTCTCTTCTGGAAAAGCTCCTTTTGAACGAAGCCTGTAGTCTAGATGTAGCTTCAAAACTAAAAACCTCTGGGTGGCATTGAAGTCAAACTGAACCAAAAGCCCCCAAACCAGTAACTAGTTCAAAATAACAGGTTCAATAACCAGGTGCGGAGAGATGGACTTTTGGGGATGCTGAGCTCTGTGCTGCACCCTAGAGTTAGAGAGAGAGGTAGGGACCACATTTACCAGGAAGCCATGGAGGAGATGACACAGGAGGGAGGCAAGGGAGAGGCATTCTGGGACTGGTAGTTCTCTTGTCTGTTATGACCAGGGTGACCAGATGTCCAGTTTTTTTAGGGACAGTCCCAATATTTAGGACTTTTTCTTACATAGGGGCCTATTACTCTCCACCCTCATCCTGATTTTTTGCACTTTCTATCTGGTCGCCCTAGTTATGCCCAAGTAGATAACTGTCCGTAGAAGGAAATTACAACTCCCAGAACACCCCCATCCATGTCTCCTCCTGTTTCTTGCTGGATGTTCATTCCTTCCTGCTATAGAAGTCAGTGTAGGAAGGGAATTTTCTGGGCTGAATTTCATTTTGTCACCTCAGTGATCAAATATGACTGACAGACTCTTTGGGTAAGTCTAAACTACATCCCTTTTTTGATAAAGGGATGTAAATTAGACATATCAAAATTGCAATTGCACATCGAAATTACAAATGAAGTCAGGATTTGAATTTCCCGTGCTTCATTTGCATAATGGCAACCGTGACTTTTTTTCAAGAAGCCTCTTTTTGAAAAAAAAAAAACAAAAAACCCTGCGGTCAAGATGGGGATCTTTCAACAGAAATGCCCCGTTTCGAAAGATCCTGTAAACCCCATTTTTTGAGGGTTACAGGATCTTTCGAAATGGGGCATTTCTGTCGAAAGATCTCCATCTTGACCACTTTTTTTTTTTTTAAAAGAGGATTTTAGAAAAAAAGCTGCAGCTGCCATTATGCAAATGAAGCACGGGAAATTCAAATCCTGACTTCATTTGTAATTTCGATGTGCAATTGCAATTTTGATATGTCTAATTTACATCCCTTTATTGAAAAATGGATGTAGTTTAGACATATCCTTTAGAGCCTTGGTTACATGACGAGAGCAGTGAAAAGGGCCCTTAGTGCAAATGAGAATTTGGTCCATACCAGTTTGTGTCTCATCTCCGTGGTACAGTTATGCAAGTTCAATTATCTAGAAGCTGTGCCTTCTGCTAACCATTAATGTTCACACCCATCAGCTAGGCTCCATCTAGACTGCAGGCTTCTTTTGGGAGAAGCTTTTCCGGAAGAGATCTTCCAAAAAAACCTTCTTCCGAAACAGCGCATCCGCACTGCCAAAGTGCAATGAAAAAGTGATCTGCTTTTTCGAAAGATAGAATCCACACTCAATGGATGTTATCTCACATTTAAGCTGTGATTCCTATGGATGGAATGGCCACCAGGGCACCTGTGCTTTGTCCTCTTTCCTCCTCTTTCAAAAGAACTCTCTCTTCCCCGTCCACACACACCTTTTTCCGAAAGAGCTCTTTCAGAAAAAGGCTTCTTCCTTGCAGAATGAGGATTGCCAATGCCAGAAAAATGCCTCTGTTTTTTCAATTTTTTTCAAAAGAACATGATTGCAGTGTGGACATAAGTGACGTTTTTCCGAAAAAAAGTTGTAGTGCAGATATTACGTGTTACTGAAACAACTTTTTAATGCCCTCTTCTCCTTTTCTCTTCCCCAGATCCTTGCTGCCACTATCGCCAATGCCAACCTTGTCTTGCAGATTGATAATGTCAGGCTGGCAGCTGATGACTTCAAAACCAAGTAAGCCCAGGGCCCCACAGAGCTCTGAGAAGGGAAAGGTGTAAAAAAGCCATTCTTCCAGAGGGTCTCTCTTGCTGATTGCATTTCAAGATGCTTCCCATGTTCCCACATTTTGTAGTGATTGGAAAAGGGAAGCGGGGAACTTTCATTTTGGCTTTCATGAATTCAGAAGAAGCTTTTGATCCATTGGGGGAAAGGCCAGTCACAAAAATGCCATTAAAAATGAATGAAAATTGTGGAGGAAAAGGGAATGAAAAATCATTATTGGCTGGATGTGCCTGAGCTTTTGACCTTCTTTGCACATGAAGGTATGAGACGGAGCTGGCCCTGCGCATGAGCGTGGAGGCGGACATCAATGGCCTGCGCAGGGTCCTGGACGAGCTGACTCTGGCTAGAAATGACCTGGAGATGCAGATTGAAAACCTGAAGGAGGAGCTGGTTTATCTCAAGAAGAACCACGAGGAGGTGAGAACAAAACAAGGCACAAGGCACAAACAAGAGACCTATACATAGTAGCGAATCCACAATGGAATCTACACAGGCTGATCAGTATGAATAGTTCCAAGATTCTGGGGTTGTTAAAGAGATATGGGCAGGTAAAGAATAATTGACTCTGAATGTGTATTCTGTAGCATCTGGTAAGTTACATCCACCACTTACGATTCGGGTAACTCCTACTGGAGCCGAGTTATTGGCTATAGGCACAGAACCATACGCTTGGCTGCGAGGGTTGTGAAGCCACGTGGTGCTCGGTATTTTATCTGACAAGCGTGAACAATTGAAACCCCCATAAGATTTTTTTTTTAAGATCTCTAAGCAGGGTGCAAGTGTGAAAACCTCCTTATATTCACTGTAGGGAGCAGGCACAGGTAAGCTGCAGATGCGCATAGTGTGTTTCTCTTGTCACAGGAAATGGATATACTATGCAGCCAGCTGAGTGGAAAGGTCAGTGTGAAGATGGAAGCAGCTCCTGGGGTGGACCTGACCAAGATCCTGGCTGACATGAGAGAGCAGTATGAGAGCTTGGCAGAGAAGAACCGGAAAGAGGCTGAGCAGTGGTTCTACACCAAGGTGAAGAAAAGAACTTGCCACGTACTGATGCCGGTGGCAGGGCTTTGCACACGCAGTGCGTGCCGTAACTAAGTTGTTTCCCTTCCTTCCAGACTGAAGAGCTGAACCGGGAAGTAGCCATGAACACGGAACAGCTGCAGAGCAGCAAATCGGAGATCACAGAACTCAGACGCACGATCCAGGGTCTGGAGATAGAGCTGCAGTCCCAGCTCAGCATGGTACAGGCCACTGGATTCCCAGGGAGACACACTCAAGGGCAGGCCCGGAGATGAGCCACCCTCTCACTGAATTCTTTCCTCTCTGTTCTCCATTCTCAGAAAACCGCACTGGAGGGCACCTTGGCAGAGACGGAAGCCCGCTACAGCACCCAGTTGGCCCAGCTGCAGGCCCTGGTCACTAGCGTGGAGGAACAGCTGGCTGAGCTGCGATGCGACATGGAGCATCAGAACCACGAATACAAGATTCTCGTGGACGTCAAGACACGCCTGGAGCAGGAGATCGCCACATACCGCCGCCTGCTGGAGGGCGAGGATGGCCAGTATGTAACAGGCATTGATTGGAGAGGGGCAGGGCTGGCCGATGGTGACGCAGCTACCAAGGGATGGAGTCTTCCCTTCACAGTACTGTGGTAAAAGCAGGGGACTGGGACCTAGAAGAACAGGTTTGTTTTCTGGGCTCTGGTGATAACTCACTGAACAAGCTTATTGGTCAATTGATTTCTCTAACCCTTCGCGTTCCCATCTGTAAAAATGTGTCGCTAATATTTTTACTCTGTCTCCTAGGAAAGGTGAAACAAAAGACAGGACTATGTAGCACTTTAAAGACTAACAAGATGGTTTATTAGGTGATGAGCTTTCATGGGCCAGACCCACTTCCTCAGATCAAATTGTGGAAGAAAATTGGCACGACCATATATACCAAAGGGATACAATTAAAAAAAAAAAGGGAACACATATAAAATTGACAAATCAGATTTTAGAACAGAGGAAGGGTGTGGGGGGAGAGGGAGATTAGTGTCTATGAGATAATGATATTAGGGGTGATAATTGGGGAAGCTATCTTTGTAATGGGGAAGGTAGTTAGCATCTTTGTTAAGGCCTTTGGTATATATGGTCGTGCCAATTTTCTTCCACAATTTGATCTGAGGAAGTGGGTTTGGCCCACGAAAGCTCATCATCTAATAAACCATCTTGTTAGGCTTTAAAGTGCTGCATAGTCCTGTCTTTTGTTTCAGCAAGACCAGACTAACACGGCTACATCTCTATTACTATCCTAGGAAAGGTGAGAGGTTATGTGAGAGATCAATAACAAGTTGTGAGATGCTTTGATCTGTTGGAAAGGATTTTCTCATGTAGTTAAAATGCTGAAGAATTTTGGGGAAACTTAGGCTGTTGCAGAAAGTGAAAAGCACTGAATACAGACCTTGGGATCCCGGAAATGTGTTCATATTTCTAATTTGCCCTCATTACTTTTCCCCTTGTAGCATTGCTGCCGAGTACCCTGCAGTCCTCTCCTCGCTGTCTACTAACGAATGTAAGGACCGTACGTGAGGTTTCGTTCACCTCTCTAACGAGCAGCTTTGCAAACTACAAGCTAGTCAGCTGACACTTGTACAATTTGATAATTAACAAAGTAGAGTCTGTGAAGAATGGGTGGAGGGGACAGGAATAGAAAATCCCCAAGTGATCATTGCCCCTACAAGCATAAAAGACTTGGGTAAAGGGGCCTTTTAACTGAGTTGTCAGAGCTGTGCAAAACCCATTACTTTGGGGTCACGGAGAAAAGGAAGGTTGGCTCTGGAGCAGCAGATGACCTTCAAGTGGGTTCAATCCTCTTTTGTGCTACTTTGAATTCTATTTTTGGAGAAACCTAAAAAAATCAAATAATACTTAAATCATCAAGTGATTTTATTTAGTTGGGATTCTGTGCAAAAATCCATCCTCAAATATGAGCTCAAAAGTGTATGCAAATAGTTTAGTCTACCCTTGACCGGTCTGCACGTAGCGGTGAATCTCTCCATGAATCCAGATTGAACTTTTGCTTTCTCATTAACCGTTCTGGTGATAGATACATGTTGGCTGCTGCAGTCCCATTTTTTTCTTTTGTCCCTCAACGAATGAAGAATTGTGTATTCAAGATGCTTAGGGAGCATGACCAATATTTTTTCTATGCTCTAAATCATTTTTTCTCTCCTTTTCTTTGCAGTAATCATACCCACTCTTAAAGTCCACACGGTTCTTGAGGAGGTCCAAGATAGAAAGGTGGTCTCATCCCGCGAGCAGGTTTAGCTTTCCACCTGCTAACAGCACAGAGACCTCTATGGAGCCCAGTTCCCAAGGCTTAAACTGCTCAGAAACAATAGAGAGAGATGCGCGGAAAGCTCCAGCTGCTGTACCTGACTGAGCCATGGGGAAAACTCAGCTCAGTTTGTTTGTTCTTTCCCTTCTCAGTGTCTTGCATTGGCTGTCACCTGCCTTTAAGTGCCACACTGGTCTGCAAATGTCTAATAAAGCTTTTCATCTGATTCACGCAATATGGAACTTGTCTCTGTTGCAGTGTGTTGTAAGCAAAACTCGTGAAGTCATTCTGCCGCTCTATTCTGCACTAGTTAGGCCTCAGCTGGAGTACTGTGTCCAGTTCTGGGCGCCACATTTCAAGAAAGATGTGGAGAAATTGGAAAGGGTACAGAGAAGAGTGACAAGAATGATTAAAGGTCTAGAGAAGCCTATGAAGCCAGGCTTCATGAACTGGGCTTGTTTAGTTTGGAAAAAAGAAGATTAAGGGGGGACATGATAGTGGTTTTCAAATATCTAAAAGGGTGTCACAAGGAGGAAGGTGAAAATTTGTTCCTCTTGGTTTCTGAGGACAGGACATGGAGTAATGGGCTTAAAGTGCAGCAGGGGAGGTTTAGATTGGACATTAGGAAAAAATTCCTAACTGTCAGGGTGGTCAAATATTGGAATAAATTGCCAAGGGAGGTGGTGGAATCTCCCTCTCTGGAGATATTTAAGAACAGGTTAGATAGACATCTGTCAGGGATGGTGTAGACGGAGAGTGGTCCTGCCTTGAGGGCGGGGGGCTGGACTCGATGACCTCTCGAGGTCCCTTCCAGTCCTATTATTCTATGATTCTATATCTCAGATATTGAAGACTTCAAATGATGGTTTAAAGACCCCAAGATGCAGAGAATCCTCCAGCAAGTGATCCGTGCCCCATGCTACAGAGGAAGGCGGCAGAAGATGGAGCTGTTCTGAGGTTGAGGGAAGGGAGAAAGCAAGAAGGAAGGTTTTCCAAAAGCAACATAAAGGATCTCGGGGAATGGTTTCTCACTCAGCGCATTGCTAGGCCATACCTGGGGATGGCTGAGTGGAGAACTTGATAGGAGTTTTGGGGGGAGGAGGTGACAGCTGGGACAAGAGGCTTAAGAATGAACAAAACATACTAGTCTGAAGGAGTGCTAATTCAAGCTAGCAGCACTGGGCTCAGTTCTGTGAACCTTAGTTATGCTGAGAGGCACCTACAAAGTTACAGTTACAATAGGCAATTCCCCCTTCAGGTGCGTTCACCTTCTCATCACTGTTGGAGATAAGCCACGCCCACTCGGATTTAATTAGCACTGATGTCACACCCCCATCTCTGTACCCCTTCCGTTCTTTTCTCTTCAAGCATCCGAGGAAGTGAGTTGTAGCTCACAAAAGCTTATGCTCTAATACATTTGTTAGTCTTTAAAGTGTCACCGGACTCCTTGTTTTTGCTGAAACAGACTAACATGGCGACACATCTAAAACGACAGAGCTGGGTCATTGACTTCAACAGGGCCAGTACTTTCTGAAGTATTACTCAGAGTGAGTCAGGATGGTGGAACTGGGCTTTCTGCAACCTAAGTGACCAGTCCAGGCATTAAAAGATCTGCACAAAGGAACCTGTTCTTGAGAGATGGAGGTTTCACTTCTGTGCAATGTTTGAGCTGAGGAGAATAGAGGAGCATAGAGATATCATTTGGATATTTATCAGAATCCCTCCGAATCCCTCTCTGTACAGAATTCCACTGTATTTCCAAGGCATGCTGTAACATTAGAGTAAACGAAATATAAAGCTGCAAAGCACAAATGTCATCTCAGTTCCTACTTTCTTACTTAACTGAAATGATAACCACATTGTGAGGCATATTATATAGAAAACTAGAAGACATACTTGGTGTTGCCTGGGTAGTTCAGGGCAGGAGGCTTGGGCGGAGGAGGGGGGAACCAGGGCAGAGACTTGGGGAGAGGGAAGCTGTGGGAGGTGCAAAAGTGGGGGTTAGGAGATGAGGAGGGGCTCAGAGTCCCATCTGGCATGACTTTCTCTCCCCTCCAAGCTGGTGGGACCTTTTCTCACTCCCCCAGCACCCCAGACTGGCAGGGACCTTCTCTCCCCATCAGCGCAGAGGCCTCCAGGGATCCCCACCATCCCACCCAGGTGCCAGGGGCCTTCTATCTTCCCCCAGCCCCCCGATCACCAGGGACCTTTTCTCTCCCCACCCCTCTGGTGCTGCAGCCGGGCAGGGGGCTACTTACCCGATCTGGTGGCAGGCAAGGTGGCAAAGCCCCAATCCTGTTCACCACTTTCTTAGTGGTGCAGCTGCCCTCAGTGGTGACTCTGCAGTATAGCTCTCTCCAGCACTCACTGCCCCCAGTGGCCACTCTCAGTGTTGCATCCCTCCTCTCTGTGTCCCCTCCCTTTCGATGTTATGGAAAACAACCCCATTCCTGGCACTTTCCATTTTCCTGGCACAGCCAAACCCTGACTGCTTTAAGTTAGGATAAGAGGAAGCTGCATACCAAAATTCGGTGGTCTTAGCTCTTACCATTTAGGAGGAGGTCTTGAACAAACAGACTCATAGACAGACAGATATACATTTCTAAAATACATAGATAGATATTCTCAGAACATTTTCACAGATCTCTTCACATTCGCTTGCGATCACTTTTAAGAGAGCGCAACAAAACTAATAAACGTTTTAAACATCTTGATCTATGAGCAAAGGTTAAAAACCTGGGTCTGTTTAGGTTGGGTGAAAAACTGAAAAAGTGACAATAAGGGGGAACACTCAAAAACAGTTCAATTTTTTTGAAATGCTACCCACTTTCAAAAGGAAACAAAATACATTGAAAGTTTTTTGTTGAAAAATATAAGCGACATGTTTTGAATGAAATGGAAGCTGATCATTAGCTTTACAAATTGTATACAAACAAGATTCTGATGAGCAATTCTTGTAATTTACAATTGCTACAACTCCCTCGGTGACAGCAATAGCCAGTATGTAAAGAGAGGCACTTTTATCAGAGGCAGTAGTAGGCAGACAGTCCAAGCTACAGCTTCCAGATATGGCGGCAGGTACTTTCTTTGGAGGCTACCAAGCAACAAAAGTTAGGGCACATTGAGTTTTGCAAAAATTGTCATCAGGAAGTCAGGTGGGCCTACATGAATTATTGAGAGATGTTGAATAATACAGCCAAAAATTCACACAATAGATACTTTGATAAGTTCTCTTTTCTTTGGAGTAGCATAATTCTTGTGGTGGTAGAGATTCATGAGCAAGCTGGAATTATTGGATTCATTGGTGTGTCTTGTGATAAATGATAACATTGGGCTTTGTCAGACAGGATTATGGACAACATTCCACAATTTTCAACTTTCCTGCAGAGTGTAGACCCTTAGGCCATGTCAACACTACGTGGAAGATCGATGCTGCTGTGATTGATCTTCCAGGGTTTGATTTAGTGGGTCTAATAAAGACCCACTAAATCACACTCAGAGGGTGCCCTCATCAGCGCTGGTACTCCTTGTCCTCAGAAGGAGTAAGGGAAGCTAACGGGAGCATTTGCTCCCATCAACCCCCCCACTGTATGGACAGCGTGGAAACGTGACTTAAGATAAATCGACTCCAACTATGTAATTAATGTCGCTGGAGTTGTGTACTTTAAGTCAACTTTCGTCTGTAGTGTAGACCAGCCCTTAGATATTGAAGATGAAAAAGACATACATGTATAGAATCAGAAAATACTAGAACTGGAAGGGACCTCGAGAGGTCATCAAGTCCAGTTCCCTGCCCTCATGGACCAAGCACCATCTAGATCATCCCCGATAGACGCTTGTCTAACCTGCTCTTAATATCTCCACTGATGGAGATTCCATAACCTCCCTAGGCAATTTATTCCTGTGTTTAACCACCCTGACAGTTAGGAAGTTTTTCCTAATGCCCAACCTAAACCTCCCTTGCTGCAGTTTATGACAACATACACCGTTGAAAGATGTAACGTCCCCATGTAGGAGCTATATCCCAGAGTGTAGAACCTGCAAGTAGCTCTGGAGATATGGTTACATATGGGAAAGTAATTCTATTCCCTAGCGCAAGTCAGGCACTGCCTACTCTGCTTTGGTTAACCATCACCCCCAAAAGCATGGTGACTGTAGATCTCACTGAAGACCAGGGAATATAACTCTGCTTCTGGGGACAAATTCACAACTAGAGTTGGCAGGAGTGACTCTGCTGACTTGGGTGAAAATGTGACCAGTGCTAGAGATATGTCACCGATGAGTCTCACGAAGAAGCTGTTCGGTTTTTGCTACTTTTTGCTACAGGAGCATACTCACTGCATGAGAACCACTAAGCTTTGCTGGGGTTCTCTCTGCAGGAAATGAAATCTGAGAAACTAGCCAGCTGTGGGTAGCAATGTGGAGGTCAGTTCCGGAGGGAAATCCTACAGGGGAATGTGACATCACTATGAAACTATGATGCAGCCCTGTCGCCAGAATCCAGCTGAGTCGTTGACAGGACACTGGGTTCTTGTGTCCCCCTCCCTTGTACGCTCACCCTTCCACCCCAAGTCAGATAACCTGACCTCATGGAGACCACGGCTCTCGGCACAGACCACAGGTTAATTCATTAGTTTGAGCTCTAACTACTTTTTCAGTCATCTGCTCTGCCACACAAGAAATTACTCAAAAGGGTTAATTACACCCAGCACGTTCAGGAGCTGCCTGCTCTGTGAGTCTCTGTTCTGACAAGAGACAGTGTTCAGCCCTCGCAACAGCCTCAGCAACCACCAGCCAGCCCTTTGCAAGACTCTTGATTACTGACTGACCTTCCCTCTGGAAAGCCAAGTATCTAGTGCATCTCTAACAGTAATTGGTCCCATGAATTTCGTTAGTGCTTTGGCCATATACAGCCTCCTGAGCGAAGTGTGCAAAAGGCTTCACATTTGCCCCCAACATGTTTATCATCTAAATTAGACACAGGAAACGATGACCACAGGCAAAGATGAAAGGAGGGAAGGTACGAAGAAGGGTAACAAATGTAGGGAAGACGTTTATGAGCTTTGAGTTTTGTTCTTTTCTCACGTTTCCTACATGAGCAATGTAGAGAAAGAGGGGATGAGCAGGTGACTGTGAGACTCTGGACAGTATCTGTCGACAAAACTTCTGTCGACAAAGAGCGTCTAGACTACATCCAGTTCTGTTGACAAAGCAAGCCGCTTTGTCG